CTATGTAGACATTATATGTAAAAACACACTTGAACAGGAAACCCAATTACATAAATGGGCCTCTTTTCTTTCTAAAATGGATATTTATTTTGAAGTAAGTATGATGCCATATAAGTTTATTTTCATGTTTACAGGATTTCCCGTTTAACACATAAGACTGTAAATCTTAAGGAAGCGACACAGCTTTTCCTCGTCTTACAAGACATATGCATGAAAAACACAATACACTCATATTATTTTTGTTCTTCTGTGATTTGCATCAAACATGCTTGGCCTTGAGGAAAACCTCTGACTATTGTCACGTTTGTTATTTTATCATGAGGATGAGGTTACCCTGTATCACGAAGACCAAGACCTGAAAATCACACTCTCATGAACAGGCTCTCAGCTGGTATCACTATCACACTGTAATACCATCATCCTGACGCAACAATCAATTTTGATACAATTGAATAATTTATTTATCACTACTATTTCATGTTTTTGTTATGTCTAAGAAGACATATTATTTTGTACCTTTGTTAAACAGTTGTTGTTTTTGTTGTTGTTACAGTTTTTGTTGATTCTGTTTATCTTTTAAATAGAAAATCACATCTCGTTTATGTTTATAAAAAATGATTTCTGTATACCTCTAAAACGGAAAACACGTGTATTGGGTTTGAATGCACTACCAAGTTAACGTATTTCAAAGTAGGTAATAGCGTCCATCCTCGTAGCATTCAGCCATGTATCCTAAAGCAGGTGTATCTGTTACAGGCAAAGAGAACATGAAAATGTGTTCAAAGTGTTATGTTAAATGTTTAAAGAAAAGACAAAGGTCAGACGAAAATGGCGATGAAAATGACGACGATGTCTGCAATGAAGAATGCAATGATGAAGGCGAAAATAATGACACAACTCCGTCAGATAGTAAATGTCTTAGTGTTGATGGCCTTTACTATGTCCCAGACTCAAATCGAAAGTGTAGTATATGTTGCAAATGCATGGTAGACATATACAGTATACCAAAAAGAGCTAGGCACCAGTTATTGTTTAATCATCACATCTGGTGTTCTAAAGAAGCTCTGGTATGCTCCAAGCCTCACATCGAAAGGGTAGTAAGCGGGGCTGCGTTGGCCTAGTGGTTAAGGTGTACTGTACTGGTAATGCACTTCACCTCTGGGTTGTGAGTTCGTGAAGCAGTTGCCATGTACTGACCGCGGGTCAGTGGTTTTTCTCACGTAGTAGCATTGACAATGAAGTTCATAATCTGGTGAAAAGATACATTTTTACCACCAACATCAATGATTAAAATAGGTATCTCCAATGCCCACACAGTCATATTCCTTGCAGTTGTAATTGATGTATAAACGAAATTATGTGAAAATTGAGTAATATTTAAATTTTTACTAATCAGAAGTTTTATTATTTTTTTGTGTGTCAAAATTAGCGCTGTCATTCTATTATCAAGTTTCGTCACAATCCATTGAATTAAAGGAAAGTTATTGAAGAATATGATTTCGACCAATCAGAGGTTATGGCGGCCATCTTGAATCAGGGAAACCCCCAACTACACAACTGCACAACTACATGTCGTTTGGGTACTTAATGATAAGATACAGAGCAAAACAAGAGTGTTCCCACTGTCTTTTGAGGACATAAATATTCAGTACTTTCAGCACTTTGATATTTAGTGGAAAAGGGTAAAGTAAAAAAAAAATGAAATTTGGCTTATCCAGTGAATTATTAGTACAACAATTACATGAGAAATATATAACTCTGAAGTTATTTTAAAAAGTCAAACTTTAGGGTGCTCAAAGATTATGGTATGTTTATTCTTATATAAACACAAAATAATAGATTTCTAAAAGCGAAATTTTAATGATACAATTGACATAAATGTGATTACAAGAAAATGGTTTAATGAATGGTCTTTTGTTATACATCATTAGAAAGATTGTTGTAAGAAGTATTTAACGGGGCTTTCGAATATTGTAATATCTTGCATCAAACATGTACGGTTATGAAGATGCCACAAAATCTTTAAAAAGTGGCGCTGCAATCGCATGTGCCATCTATTTCAAGAAAAAAAACTAAAAAACAAAAAATCGGTCATGGGCCGCCATGTAACACCTCCTCTGAGAGGAGTTCCCCGAACCAAAGAGGTTGTAAAGCTGAACATTGGAAATCGACTGTGAATATCGGGATAGCATAGAAGACGTAAATGGAAATATATAAATAAAACCTCATACAAGCAATAACATAATCAATTAAAACTAAATTTGTTTACCGAGATGTTCATTGTATTGTGTGTAAATCAGTATAAAACAGTCGCGAATCGTTAGAAATCATCTCTGTTTAACCATATAGTTATGTGAGAATCTTACCTCATGTCATTGCTACCAAACTGTTATTTAACCTTTATACATAAAACAATGAAAATATCAAATACATCAGTCGTCTGTCAGCGTTTGAGTTATGTTGACGTAAATTTGAAACGCTGACCATTATATCAAACAATGAATTGTGTTCTATATCCTTACAGCATATTTACAGAGTGCTTCGGTATACAATATATAATGTGTTTTGTCAGTGTAAAAACAAACAGGAAAATACCAGCATGTGCAAATACATGTAAACATAATCCAAACTCGAGTTCAATAAAACTAGGGCAAAATATGAACAAAAGAAAAACTTCCACTGATATTCATGAAAAAATACAAGGAGAGTAAGATCAGGTGTTATGGAAGAGTAAGCTTCATCGATGACACCCGCCATTTAACTCTTGACGACCGTAAAACTTCCTTATCATTTTCATTGATCTGCATCCCTCGGAATCTTGTGTTGCGAGTTGCTGGCATCCTGCACTGAGATAGCGATATTGATAAAAAGCCCTCAAATATGATATGAACTGCGATACCTTATTACCATGGCAACATGTATTCCTGTATGTTTTATTATTCAATTAAATTAATAACGGTGGTATAAATGTGCATGAATTCAGTTATATAACTTATTTTAATATACGTGATTCGAAGCAGCAACATCATTAATTTGCATTAGGGATGTCACCTATTTCTAGTTCAGAGGTCACAATGTAGGCCACAGTACTATATTTTTGGTGCAACGACACATCGACTCACATAGGTAGACCAGGGCTCTCGATCTGCCAGATTTGGGGCCGATTTTCGGCCCCATTCCAAATGCAAAATAGTTTTTTTTCCCTAATTTAGACCCCAAGTTTTCCCAATTCTAAGGAAAACACCATTATTTTTCCCAATTCAAAGGGCCCCGGGCCCCGGGCCCCAGTCCCAAAATGGGGTGTGAGAGCCCTGTAGACTGATCACCTAAGTGTGCATGAAGTTTCGATATGAACATGACATATTTTTGTCACACGAGACCTTGCCTCAGGTGACCTACTTTTGGTACATACCACACTGCCTCACATGGGTCAACCGGTACCACAAGTATAAAGTGTCAGTGACATATAGTACAGGAGTCTGAACAGGATATAGCGCGGAAGTACGGATGAATACAACAAAAAGCTACAGATCTGGTTCCTGGTTGGAGATTCATAACCAGATGTTTACTGAATATGTCCATCGCAAATAAAAACCAGAATTGGATTTTAGTATCTTACATGTACATTGATACTTTCTTATACTGAAAATAACAGCAATCCACTTAGCTGTATGATAAGCATAATTATTTCGATTCCACTTTTGTAATTTTTTCCATTTCTAGATAGTAATAATCCTGCTTCTGTGTTTAATATGGCAATTGAAGACTGTACATGTATGTGGTTAATCAATTACTGATATTGGACCTGTAGCATACTGGGATAGAGGCTTACCAAAGTTGTTCACATTAATGACCTCGACACACTTTCAACTTCAAAGGGGTCAAATACCTCAAAATGTTACAACGATTTCTTTCCAGTAACTAAATGGCCTTATAAAGTCACCACATAATATCATCTAGTCATTAAGTAAAAAAACGGTCCGGGTTACTGATATAAGATAGGTAGTATGACAAGATGAATGGCTTTGACCCACTTTCAAGGCAACAAGAGTCAAATGTGTTGCAATCTTCAAACTTCAAGGGTCGTTATAGTAGACCAGTACCATGCTGATAAGAAAAGATACCGAGTTTGTTCTGATGAATGACCTTGTCCTAATTTCAGGTCACAGGTGTCAAATGTGTTAAGAGCTTAAAACTTCTCAATAACAAATTGAGTAAAGGTATTTGTAAAGTACCCTGCTTGGAAAATGGACTTCTAAGTTGCACTTATTAATCCTCTGGGGAGAGATGAACGGGACTCTTGTTAGGTGAAAGAAAAGAAGAGCTTTGAACTTGTTCCAATGGCATTAAGTTAATTTGAACAAATTTAGTCAGAACTATCCATGAAGATTTTTTCTTTTATTCTAATCATTGGTGTATGCCATTTGATCCTGAGTGGCAGGGTCCAATATGGAAATTTTAGTAATTTCTTAATATCAATTCTTTGTCTTCAGGGACAACAACATAAGTTTGTCCAGATTCGGTATGAAGCATCATTAAAGGACAGAAACCCAATTTTGGTGTAAACAGTAGGACTAACTCTCCTTAGGGATAAGGAATGTGGCCCAATAGGGTAGATACATGTAAGACATCCAAAGAATGCCTATGATTTTCTTTTATTTTCAAAATGAAAGATGGTGTTCTCAACTACGGAGATTCAACATCTACTTTGTATAAAATGTGCATTTTTGTATCAGTGACCTGTTCAAATATGCCTTCTTTATTTAAACATATTGTTAAAAATTTACCATTGCCACTAATCTAGTGTGAGTTTTCTTTTTGGTAGGTTCACAAGGATAAGGCTAGTAAGCCTTGTAAATAAGCTTGAAGTTGAAATTGTTGGGAAAAGTGAAAGGAATGAATTAATTTACAACATTTAATTGCTTCAGGCCTTGTGTCTTTATTGTTCTAAGTCTACTTATTTGTTCTTTTAATTATATCATACAACAAAAACAAATAACTAAAACATGAAAAATCTTTATTTATAATAATTATCTTGAAGAATACAAATAATCACTGCAGGAATTCAAGATGACACATGTACTGGAAAAAGCAAAAGATAATCAAATAGAACAATACAGGAAACTTAGTGAAAACAAACCAGAAACATATTGGTAAACAGTTCTCTGGGCAGCCTAAATACCCTACAGGCAATAACAATGCTTAGTAAGATATGTCTCTATTTCTTATTATAATATCAGTGTATATATGCGAGTCCATTTTTCTTCAAAATCGCTGCTGTTAGAGATTAGGTTAAAAATTTTTTTTTTATAGTGTGCTCTTGTTTAATACTTGCTGGACTTTAAAATTTGTCTGAATGAGGCACAAGACTTATCCCCCTTGGTATGGATGAATGAAGACCATATATGTAATTTAACAGAATACACCATGAGGAGACTTTACAGATGACAACAAGATATATACTATACATGATATGGCTTACAACTACATATGTATTATGTAGTTTGAGGATGAAACACATAACTTCAACCGTTAAACAGAATTCACAAGGAAAGCTACAGATTTGACAATTAAATCAAGAATTTCACCCAGCACTGACGTTTCTTTATGTAAACCACAAAGTGGATTCCACTTTATCTTTTCAATCAGAAAGGGAAGACATCTTAGAATCATGGATCGTAAGAATCGCCATCCATCACTCCTATGTAAAGGGAGAGTACTCTGTTTGGTTCAAATAATTACCATTGTTTCTTAGAAACTTTGAAATTGCAACTAGAATACATTTTAATACAATTTTCATTGAAATTCCCTTCAATTACAGCATGATATCGAAATCACTGAACATTATTAATTTCATGAGGACTAAGCCAACACACAACCACCTTTACACACAAGTGATGAAATAATCCACTTCCCTGCATTCAGCTTTACCTTAATAACATATAATGTCAAGATGAAGTCAACAAAGAAAGATGTTAATTAACAGAAAAACAATAAAATATCAGCAGTGACTGAAAATCACTGCCCTGGCTCTTTATGAAATGCATATGTTTTGAAATACAACTACCAGGTACACCTTACAGATATAACTTAATCAAATCAACATTCCTCACCGGTACACAGCTACATCATATACCATTCAGCCCAAATCATTATTCTTTCTGTCAATATTTGCTACACTCTCTAAATTACAGTTTGGAGTAAAAAAAATGTTTAAAATTCATTAATATTACTACACCACAAGCACAACACTTGGATATAAATATGTTATTTAAAATTTAAAAAAAAAACTTATGTTTCATTGCTACCAACATAATTAATTATTGGAAATAGTATCGATTGATTACTCTACTTGGCAGCAATAAATGTTTCCTCAAACAGTTCAGGATTTATAGCCATATAAAACAGAGTATTTTATAATGATACCATAATTTGTCCAGCAATATTAAACCAGGGATGTATGATACAGAGAGATAAGAAACTGCCTTTATCTCTTTGTAAACATTACAACAAAGAAATTCAAGTTGCCAAGCCTTTCTGTGTTTAAAAACCATTTTTCTCCGAAAAAGTGTAATTAATATTTTCAAAATAAACGGTATGGGAAGCAGAAAGTTTAAAAACATTCAAACTGATTGTGCAAACATTTGTGATAAATAATGTCTGTAAAATATTCTGTAAATAAATGTTTACGCTATTTACAGCTGAAATACTATCCTTTAATGTATACGGATTTCAGTCTCAAATATGAAGAAAATAACCTTTAAATAAAAAAATAAATAGCATCAAAAAGCTGTGTAGTTAAGTTTTTTTTCTATTTTAAATTTTGTAATGCATCACTTCAATTTATCAGTATCATTTTAGAACCAAAATAAGATTCTTCTTGCTAGCTGACAAAAGGCCCTAGTCAAGCTGGCCAGCGCAAAGTTCACATCCTGGTAACTAAAGTATGAGACAAAGGTTACTATGATTAGACAACAAATGTGATGGAGAAGGGGTTTCAATGACTTCATGGCTCAGTGACCAAACATAAAAACCTACACAAGAGAATACTCCACTCGGCTTAGTTTCTTATCCCTCTATATGTCACTGCTTCAACATTATAAAGCAAATCCCAAAATGTATATTCTATACAAATTTTTAATTTATTAAGATTTAAGATTCCACATTTGAGCTACTTGCTAAATGTTTTTTTATTACATGAAATTACTGAAAATCAAAACTCTTTAATGATACCTTCTTTTGGCACTCTTCATGTAAAATCTTTTAATTCTTTTGCAATAGGCACCTTTTCCTAATTGCTTACAATTATCATGGAATACATATTCTTCAATGTTCTATAAAATTTGCAGGAATCTGTGTGAATCATGGTCACTCATAGAATATCAACATTATTCTAATATCATTCACATGACCTAGGGATCCTTATTGTCATAAATGCAAATTAATCTGGTTAATACACACAATTTTATGGATTTTATTTATAATACTTCAAAATGTGAACTTCTTACTAATTATCACTCATAGCAATCTGTCACCATATCAACAGTAACCACACATAGCAATCATTCACCATATCAACAGTAACTACCCATAGCAATCAGTCACCATAGCAACAGTTACTACCCATAGATTTCAGTTACTACAGTAACAGTTACCACACATAGCTATCAGTTACTATAGCAACAGTTACCATCCATAGCTATCAGTTACTACAGTAACAGTTACCACCCATAAATATCAGTTGCTATAGCAATAGATACCATCCATAGCTATCAGTCACTATAACAACAGTTACCACCCATAGCTTTCAGTTACTATAGCAACAGTTACCATCCATAGCTATCAGTTACTATAGCAACAATCCAATCCAGACAAGATAATAATGAGTGCTTTATATCTGTGCTTATTTTCTGTTTTTTTTCTTCTAGTTTTTGCCACCTAATCCTGCTAAGCTGACATCATCAGAAGTGAACTTTGCAATAAACATAATCATTGAAGTCTCATATCTTATGTAGAATTATGCTGATTTTTAGGGGCCAGAATGAATACCATCCTTAATGATGTGTAATACTGTTGATTATACCTGACCTTTAAAAACAGGTCCAAAAATCCAGGCTCACAGTCTAGCCTTCACCATTCAACATATCTGTATATAGATTAAAATGTTCAAAAACACTGATATTTTATTTAAATTTTCCCTTGTGTTTGACCTTTGGCATTTCTTTATCAACGGTAAGGTAAACAATGGAATGTTAACATTTAATCAAGTTCATCATCCTCTATTTTTGCCTCTCTTTCATTGACTTCTGACATTGGACTTTCATCTGACACAGTCATTCTTTCTTCAGTCGAGTTATCCCCCTTTGCTTCAGATTCCGTGACAGGCTGTGTGGATTCTATTATTTTTGATTCACTCAAACTAACTTCTCCCTGAAAAATAAACAAATTCTTGTATCTATTTCAACTTCACCATGTCTAAATTTTTGAAGCAAAATTTTATTACAGGAGGTTGTGTTTAAGAAAAAATCAGTTAAATATGCACACCAATTATCATTCTTCTATGTTAAGTTTACATAGCTGTGACTTTGGCTTGATATAAACTTATTACATTGTTTTACATCACTACCCTTGAACTCCTTTTTAATATCAGAGATGCTCATTCCCCAATATTTTTTAAAGTTTTGTTGAAAGAAAGACATGTTTTAATATTCTTTAATCTTAATGTGCATAACGCTTTCTTTTCATTTAGATAGTCACTTTCAGCTTGTCACAGTATTTTTATCTAAAATGGCTTTGGCTGTCTTGAGCCATTAAATACAAATCAAACCCAGTATTAACTCCTGTTATGTATTCTGAGAACAACCTCATTCTGTTACTTTGAATTCTGATATTGTTTGATTTACTATATCAGATTACAACACCCCGATTAAGAATCAGTTTAAGCTCACATTAGTCTCAACTTCAGAGTTCTCCTCCCTATTACTGTCATTGCTATTCAGCATTCCTAAAGTATCGGTTAGATTTCCACTATCTCCACTAGGTGTCACTAGTGATGACTTTGCGGGTGTGGTAGGCACAGACTTTTCCCCTGATGATGACAGTTGCCAAGACGGTAAAAGTGGGGTGCTGGAGGGTGTGGGAGGGAACTGGCGTCTGTAAAAGTGCAACAACAAAGTTTGCATTTCCAATCAAATATTAGAGATCTCTATGTTATCATCAATGACAGGTTCAAAACAAAAAAAAACAACACTTTATTTTACAACAATTAGGAAACAAAATATCAATGGCTGGTCAGGTTCAATATCACACCACTGTACTAACATATTACATTCATTCATTAATATGACGACTGAATATTCAGAACAGTTGGAAACAACCTGAATCAAATTGTGCTACTTTTGTCATTGAGTTATCCAACTTGTCATGAATAGCTATACAGTATGGTAAATACATGTAGTGTCTTTACATTCATGGAGAAGAGATTTGACCTGAATATGAATCATGTAAAAACGTATTAGTGAAATGGTAGATATTTCTACTAAATATTAACAACTATGATTTCACATGTTTCCTGAAGTTGTATGATTATGCATGCTTACATCGAAAATATAAATATCTCATCCCCAGCTTATAAACTTTTATATGCATGTTTACAAGAAATATATAATTATCTGCATTATCTGAATAAATGTTTACCTGTTCAACAGAAGTCCTTTAATACTTGAAAGTTCTGATTTCACCTCGTGCATAGTTTGTGAATCTTGGGAGCTCTGTAATATTTCTGAAGACTAGGGATAAAAGAAAAAGAATCACAATCACAAAAAACTTTTAATCTTAATACTCAGTATGATATTCCAAACAAGAGAATCAATAGGCCTGTGTTGACTGATTTGTTGTTGATTGCTGTTAGCAAATACTTTTCATATTCTGTGTATCTTAATACCTTCAAAGTCAAATTAATTTACGCAAGTCGACAACCTCATTTTAATTGGATTAACATATCAACTTTGCTCTCTGTGATAAATGAAACACATCTTTCCAAAACCTCAAATAACATAATTTGACTTAGCTCTTTTGAGAATAAAACTGTCTCCTTGTTGCAAATTAATGATATTTCTTGTGATAATGCCCTTACCAAGTTTAGCATGAATGTTTTGTGATAGTGATCTTCCCAAATGTTTAGAATGAAGGTCATGTGATTATGATCTTACCCAGTACATATCACACAACATCAATCTTACCCACTGTATATCATGTAACTATGTTCTTATCCACTGTATATTATGACAATGATCTTACCCTTTTCGCATGAATGTCATGTGACAGCTGTTGAACTTTCTCCTGTTCCTTGGTCACCTGTTCCTGAAAGGAGGTCAGTGTCTCCTGGACAGTGGTCAGCCTCTCTACTACACTGCTCTGTAGTTTCTCCAAGGTTGTCAGTCGCTCTTCTGTTCTTGGTTGTCCTAGTAACCATGGTTTCAATACCTCCTTTTGTCAAAAATAAAAACCCAATTTACACTAAATTAGAAAACAGTTGCACAATGGCAAACAACAAAAAGAAATCAGCAGCAAATCTATCGCCTTTTCAGCAATTGTCTTAGACTTCAACCTACTTTTATGATCAGCAAGAGATAAAGATACAACACTTACAATAATTCAGTTTTGAACACTGTTTCATACAAAGAATATTATTGGTCAGTTAGAACGGTCACCTCATCTATATAGCATAGCGTGCAGGTTCGCTTTTAAAGACGTCTGGGAAACTATAACTTGCATCAGAAAAGATTTGGTTAGGGGTACCAACCACAGAATTTGAAAGATAATTTGCTTAGAAATACCAAGTAATCTGAAAGAATCTGAACTATGGAGATAAGTTATTCATTTACAGTCCTAAGTCAGGTAGATGTTTAAATTAACTCTATTTATTTTGAAACAATTTTAAAAAATGTTTTTACAACTTATATTTATCACTGTTCTTGGTCTGGATGGAAGTATCTGAAAGGTCTAACTGTGATGACTCTCATGTTCATTTTGAGAATTGAACCCTGGACGGTTAGGAGAAAGGTGAGTGCATCTCCACTACACCATCCGACCCTTAATGTTTTAAGGGAAAGTCCCTTAGTAGAAAGACCAAAACCTCTAACTTTTAATCAGACATAACATGTAAGCATTCTGGGTTCACTGTGAGATAAATACTGGTAGGTAAATATGTGACAAAATTGTTTATCAGGTTGTAGAATTATACAAGGTGTAACAATGTGCGATGTAAAAATGCAGAAACATGTGTAAAATTTTACTCTGATTTCATGTATGCTTCTAATCATTATACTGATGATGGCCGCACAAGGGGACACAAAATATAGACAGTAAAATACACAGCCACAATGTACTTGTGGTAATGAGATTCCTTTTATCTTTCTTACTGAAGAGGCTGATTTAAAGGATATATAGGGTGTATCATATACCATTTGTATCTGAGAAGGAGAAAGTACACAACATCTTACCTTATAAAATTTGTAGGCAGCATATGTCATACCACTTGCTAATGCTATCACAGAAAGCACATCTCTAACTTTTTGCCATCTTGTGTATATAAGTACTGAAAAGAGAGGTAAGAACACAAAAATAAGTCCATTTTTATCTCATTGAAAACATCTTCAAATCATTATCATAAAAGCATTTAGCTGACCCCGTCCTTCCATACATCTTTGGCCTTGACATGCTATGAATCACTGACCTGGATGTCCCTCTGAACATCTTCGACCCTGAGTGGTCAAGTTAAGACAAGCTGTTACAGTGCAACTTAGTCTCTTAAGCCCATAACAGGAAAACTTATGAACGAGTTTGTCTTTTATGTGTGAAACTCTTGCAATATAGAGCCTAGGCAAAATTCTAAAGACAAAGTCCCCAAGGCGGGTGAATACCCAGGCTTGACAAACTTGGTTAAAACCTATAGACAGGTCAAAAGAAGGACCACAAAAATAATCAAGATTGTCCGGATCATGATTAAAAAGTAAATACCAGGTAATATAACTGGTACTGATTTAGACAAAGAAGCACTATATTATGACTACCTTGTCATCATGATCTTGTTTTGAAATTTAAACTACATAACTTGGACACTACTCAATCTATATATATTTTAATCCCTGACACAGATTCCACAAACCTGGAGGTGGTGCCATCTGTTGAGTGTTGTTAGCGTATGGGACCATCTGTCCTGAGGATTGTGGAGGAAAAACTTGTGTGACATTGTCATCTTGTGCTACTCCTGCTCTTTGAACTGCGAGGTCAATTTCTTCTTTTGTTAAACCTAATACAACACAAGAAATCTTGAGCACATAATATTGAATCTAAAAATAAAGATGGTATTTTAAGCAAACATCAAGTTCTGATAAACAATGAATGAGATCTACCCATGCTTACATACAGACTTTACATACCATACATTGCCACATACTGTCAACCTGGAGTAATTTCAGTCAAAGTTGACTTTCTTTCCAAATTCAATTAAAGATTTTGTAGCAATGTAAAAGTTAAAACTACAAAAATAAATAAATTAATTGAAAACAGCTGATAACAGAAAGCTGTTTTAAATGTTTTAAAAGGCACCTCATCCAAACTTAGCCTGGAGCAATGGTGGAATATTTACATTAAACATATACAAGATGAAAATCTTACCTTTTCTTTGTAAGAAAGCTTTCTTCTGTGAAAGAGGGCTTTGTTTGACTTTTGGATTTTGTAAGAATTTTACAGCTGTACTGATCTGTAATATAATTCAAAAATGTTTATACCAATATATTACTTATGTTGTTAGTTCCCAAATTTCTACATAGAACATAAATGTTTCCATAAAATTATAATCCTGAAAAGTAATGTTTTGTAATGATTTATCTTCCATGATTCAAATTTCATAAATATACATATAGAATTTTTTAATGAAGGTAGAAGGTTTGCTGATATCTTGCAACGGATATTGTCCAATCGTCTCTATCTTCAACTTAGTTTTTTTTCTAACTGGATTCTGTATTCCGAAGAAATTCATCTGCAGAAAACTACTGGTATTTGCATTGTAAATATGTACCTAGATATTGGATCTCTTTCTCATTGTATAGGTTTTTTTATACAATATGTATATATATATATGTATACATGCCCCTACCACGAGATATACATACCTGTATGTACAGTTATATTAGGTGAAGGCATGGAGCAATTGGATCAAAGATATTGTAGAAGTACAAGGTAATAACTAATTACTGTTGTTCTAGAATGTCTTAGTTCTGGAAGCTGATCATTTATTTCATTTTATTTTAATTGTCTACAGATTCAAGACAAGAAATAGTGGTAAAACTTCATCAATATACATACAAGTTCCTCTCGAACTCCCTCAGCAGGAGCTAACACATCTTTGGTCACTTCAACCTGAGGAAAGAAAACAAAGTACTGTCAAATCTGTCATTAAAGGAAAGTCAAAGGCGTAGAGAAGAGTGGTCTTTATAAAAAGGTTTAAGTATGTAACAAATTGTGTTGCATTAGGACTTTAAATTATAATGACCTGACAGGCATTTGTTACATTCATTATTGTACGTATATAGGTGGCCTTTAGGCAGATTTTGGGTCTTTTGACTGTGGAAACCTTGGTAAATACTACTGTGATATATCACTCAGAGGAATCTTTCCTTTAGCTTTATTGATCAAAAACTAGTAAGTAAGGGGCTACAGACAAATTGTTATGGAGGCAAGCAATAAATAATGAGCTCTTTTTACAATGATGACTATGCAGAATCTCAGGAGTAATATTAGCTTAACTTTCACAAGACTGTATTACTCAGATACCTGAAAATTTGTGGGCAAGATATATTTTCTGGAGGTGGACTATGTAACCTGCTACCCCAGTACATACATACTAATTGCAATATACCACTTGGCTTCAGAGATCTCTTTAGATTAATAGCTTGAGTGCAATCTTAGCAGTGGCATTGAAAAACAATAATCAGCCCTGTTACACTGGCACCCACAAAGGGACCTGTGTGAGAGATGTGTGTGAAATAAATAGAAATAATTAGAAATGCTCTACAAAATAAACATCGTTTTGATCCCTGACAACTCTATGAAGAGTTCATTTCTAGAACAAAAATATGTAACCTTAGTAAATACTTGTCACAACTCAAATCAGCAAAGGGAGAACTTTTTAACAGAGACATATATAACACAAAGATAAGACACTTCCTCTTGAGTTAACCATTAGTCACACAAGACCAGGTGACTACTAATAATCGTTAGTTGCGTGTAACCATATGTAAGCACGACTTTCGAAACCTCTGCCATATTGTAAACGTCATATTGGTTATACACCTCACTTCAAACTGTTGTATATGTGACTTTTTAGAAGGACGAAATAGGTACAAAAAATATCTTAGGAAGAAAATGTATGTTGTAATATATAATGTTTATTCTGCAACAATTTAGTGATGTTGATGAGTTTTGATTCATCATTTGTTCAGATTAATTCTCTGAAAAAAAAACATGAAATTTCTGCATGTCCAATGTTGTTTTTGTGTGTTGTCAGCATGTCCATGAACTTTCTTGTTATAGAATACATGAAATCCTGTTTCAGTATTTATTTGATCTGAATTTGGTTTTCATATGTTTGTTCTGTTACAGTATTTTTATCGTCCTTCTTGGTAATGTTGTGTTACATCTTCAATGATATTTACTAATTATGAAGAGAAAAGTTGACATTTCCATAACAAACTTGTATTTGACATGGCAGCTGTGGTTGTGATCAGTGCCTCTCTTCTTGGCTTTGGATAAATGTGAGTTCTGTCTTTTGTACTTTATTCCATTTAAGATAATTTCAAAATCTTAATAGTAAGATAATTATTTGACTAGAAATACAAGACTTGATGTGACATGTCACCGATAAAGTTTGATGACAAAGTTGTAAAACATTGGTAATTTCATAACAAAGTTTTTCTCACATGGTCCCTAGGGTGTGTATGTGATCTGTGATGTTCTTGATTTTAGGGTAATACAAATTATTTTGGTTGCTCGCTGTTGGTCTAAGAATGATTTTCAGGTTTTAATATCATGATATATCAATCACTTACCACAAATCTCAATATTGTTGTGACATGTCCCTGATAATATTCAATAACTGAAGCTACAAAAGGGTCTGTTTTTTTCACACACCCTACACACCACCAAATTTTGCACTTGTTACATTTCCTTCAAGTAGAGAATTCAGTCATGCACAATCATACAAGAACTGTGAGAGTTTCTGATCTCTGTGTTGTATATGTCTCTGTCTGATCAGTTCAGATCAGACTAGCCAGGAATCCTGGGTTTGATCCTAGCAGAGGCATTGAAATAATTTATGTCCTCTTTTACGATGTATGAATTAATAAATGTTATTACACTCATAATAACCTATTTATACCAATATTACCTGGAGACTAATGTATTTCTATGTATTGTTTACATGTTAGCTTCCATCTCCAAGCAAAATATAATTTCCAGCGAGGAATTGAAGTCTAAAATGTGGCAGAATCGAGAGATATACTTGCAATAGGAAGGATTAAAGAAAAACACTGTGCCAAAAAGGGTGGGCTTCAAACGAGCGACTCTTTGGTACCTAGCCAGACACTCTACCGCTCGACTATAGGGAAATTCCCAGTAGGCTAAGCTAATAAGGCGATCTGTACTATCAACTTCTACACACTAATGTATATCATTATCCTCCAGTGCATTCTCTCACATCCGAGTATGATTAAAAATCAAAATGGCAACATCTTGGCTTGCAAAAACTGATACATATATACAAGGCTAAAGTATCGTTTAGTACAGAAACTTGTTAGCTCAGTAAAGCAGGTCCCACACACAGCTCAGCACAAGTTACAGCTGTGGACTTTGAACTACCTGTCTTGTGGACTTAGATAGCACTAGGTAACATTAAATATTCATTTAACACCATTCGCCTAATAAACTAACTGCTAGGTTTTCTTCGAGTTGGTGACAAGACGTTGGATTCTCAAACAAGCATAAAGCGTAGTAAGACTTTCAATGTTGACAAACCTTTCCATCATCGTCCGCCATATTGGATTTAGTGTTAGTAAAAATCGGAACGGAATACGGAACGAGAATAGACCAAATTATGAACGGAGTGTAAGACTATATCTGTTACTTTATTTTGAAACTCGTTTTGGACATATCGTAAACAGTCAGCAGGGGAGTAGCGTATAACTAGTCGCAGTGGAGGTGAAGCTCGGGTGTCAACGAAATGGTTGACAGGTTTTTGTCTTCTGAATCTAAATATAGAGGCAGTTATGCCTGCGTTCAGAAGAAACTAAGTTAAACTTAGTTAAGACAAAATACTGACATGTCAACAGAAAATTCAATGACTTACGTTCGATAAAACCCGGGTAAGATATAAACAAAAGAAAAAAATACACGGAGACTCCTGAATGAAATACAATGAGAAGAAGACCAGGTTTTCCGGAAGGGTAAACGTCTTTTACTTCTTCGATGCCGGACACCGGCCATGCAAATAATGGTAAGTTCAATTAGTAATTCCACGTCCCCATACGAGAACAAGGCAAATAACAGCGAACCAATTTCCTATCGCGTAAGGAAACGATAATTTCGCCAGAATCTTCATCAACATGACATGAGAATTTCGAACGTCAGTTTTTAGCACTGATATGTTTCGCTTTCCTGTCCGTTGTTTCTAATAACATTATACTGGATTTCGATGCATTTACATGTGTACCCACATGGACTTCGCACGAATGTCCAATCCCTGGCCATTTATCTAGCGTTTTAAGGACAAGTTTTACAGAATCGTTACACACGCTTTCAGCATAACTGCAAACTTCGATCGACATCAACATATAAAATCTGTAAGCCTAGACTGAAACCGAGTTATAATTAATTTAAATCAGGGCAACAAATTGATGACTTTCCGAAAATTAAAATGTCTCTTACAATTTATATATATCTGGCTTGAGACAGCAAATGTCGGTGCTGCTTTGTCGCCGCCATCTTGATATGTCTCTTCCGGGAAACGCACAATATGTTACAAGCACCGTCTGTTGTTTATATGTGATTTTTCTATAGTGTTATGTACCAGAAAGTCCACTTATTTGTGTTCACATAAACGTCGTGTTCCCTTTCTTCATTTGCGGAAATAAGGAATGCTGTCATGGATACGAAACTTAACAAAGCTCCTGGCGTCGACAATGTATGCAATGAGCATTTACGTTATGGTGGCCGCAATTTACTGATGTGTGTACTTCGTCTATTCAATGCAATACAAGAACAGCATTACATACCGAAAACATGGAAATGTGGAATTATCATCCCACTTCTAAAAGACCGTAAAAAATCTAAAAATTGCCCTGACAATTACAGGCCAATTTCCTTACTTCCGGTGTTATACAAACTCTTAGAAAAAGTAATGCATGTGAGACTGCAAGACTGGATGAAACTTACCGAACACAAACTATGTACCCAGCAGCAAGGCTTTCAGAAAAACTTGAGTTGCGAAACTGTTGCATTCAATCTTAGAGAATGTATCCATTACAATATTGAAAAACACAGTAATGTTTTCGCCGCTTTCCTTGATACGCGGAAAGCGTTTGACACTGTTTGGCAGGAGGGACTAATCAGAAAAATACACAGCTTTGGTATAAGAGGACACATGTTTGAAATCATTCGTAATTCTTATTTGGATATCTGCAGTGCCGTGATGACCCACGGGATTCGCTCTCGGTGGTTCTCGGTCAGTTCCGGATTACGTCAAGGGGGAGTGACGTCAACATTTCTATACCTCATATATATCAATGACTTACTAGTTGAGCTTGAATCTTCAAAAGCTGGAGCCCGTATCTCGGATATTAACTGTGGTAATCCAGCGCTGGCCGATGACCTTGCTCTTCTTGCTACAAATCCTGCCTCGCTACAGGTTCTCCTCGACTTATGTAGTCAATATTCAAAAACTTGGAAATTTGAATATAACGCAAGTAAAAGCGCTATCTTGATATTTGGGAAAATCAGAAATAAAACAAACTTTGAATGGACTTTAAACACAATAAAATTGAAAATATGTGATTCATATAAACACGTCGGGATGATTATATCGAATGATCTAAAAATTGAGAAGGCGATTACCAACGGGTACGAAAAAGGAAGAAGAACATTTAACCTTATGACAAGATTTGGTCAAGACTGTAAAACTACAAGTCCAATCATAACAGCTGACCTTTATAAGAAAGTCATTTTACCGAGTGTACTATTTGGATCACAGTTTTGGAATAATCCTTTGCGAAAAGATATAAACAATCTAAATATCTTCCAACATGAAATCGCGAAAAGAACTCAGTGTTTTCGTAAGTTAACGCGGTCCGACATAGCCGAATCCATGCTCGGCATACATAGAATAACTGCGGAGTTATACAGAAAGAAACTTTTATTCCTTCGCTCATTGATCGATCTCCCTACGAACACCCTTTCAAAGCAAATATTTCTGTCGCGCTTGTATCAGTACCTTGAAAACAGTCCAACTCATCAAGCTGGCTTCATACCGGATATCGTAAAAATATTATCAAACTATGATCTTCTGAAGTACCTTCAATCATATCTTCAAACGTACACTTTTCCACAAAAGTTTCCCTGGAAGAAATTAGTCAGAGATGCTATCAATCGAAAAGAAGATACTTTATTAAGAGAAAGAATGCACTGTGACCGTGACTTTTTACGATATCACGATACTCACCATACTTACTGTTCACCTCATATACTATGGAAGTTAAAGTGTTCAAAATCTTCAAGATGTGTTGCAAAAATGTTAACATATACTCCGACGTGGATAGAATCGGAATGTGAAAAATGCAAAGAACTGTACATTGATCCGATTCTCCATTTCTCATCTAAGTGTTCTGTGACACTGGAAAGTAGAACTAAGTTCATGGAACATGTCCTTGTTTCATATGGAACGGATATTTGTATTTACATTGATAACCTCTCCCATGAACACTCCCTGATACTGTTACTTGGGATGTATTGCTCGACATTTAAACAATATTTCGAATCCGACGATCAGTACTTTCTCTTCCTTAGAGACGGCATTGAGTTCCTGGACACCGCATCAAAAACATTTTATCGCAAAACAACCGCAAGATGTGATGTTTAAGTAGATGGTGCATCTCATCATAGTATGTGATGTGATTCAAAGTGACAATATATATGTAAAAAGATAAGATTTTGAGCTTTTTGAACTTTTGCTTAAATTTGAATTTTGATATTTCCTTGTAAATCTCACTGTTGAGGAATAAAAGAATTGATTGATTTGATTGATTGATTGCACAATATGTTACAAGCACCGACTGTTGTTTATATGTGATTTTTCTATAGTGTTATGTACCAGAAAGTCCACTTATTTGTGTTCACATAAACGTCGTGTTCCCTTTCTTCTTTTCGACAAATTACCGGAATATCGGGGAAACAATATCCATTAAGAAAGTCAAAAATTTCTTTGTTTTACTTGTAAATTACTTTACTTATGACGAAGCCCAGTTTAGGACAGGTTGAGATCTTGTGTTTGAAATAACATTATTTCACCTTTAAATTCAGTAAACACTGGCGTAGCTAGATATCACTTGGATTTGACAGCCTCGGAATTCCCGACCCATGGTCCATACAACTGTTATATGTATTTCTTCCATTTCTTCGATAACCACCGCAACTGTCTGTCACTATTCAGCACAACAATATGAATAAGCAGCAAGTTCTTTTCACTCATGAAATGTCAGATTTTAGCAAAACAACACAAGGATATAACAAAAAATCAAAGTATGGCTCAGCTTTTTTAAGGTGGTTGAGAAAAAACATTATAACTGAATATCAAATTTTTCCGATGTTAATAATCGAACACAATTTTTCAAAAAATCCAAATTCAAATATTTGAACAAGGTTTTCTTAAAAGTATTTTTTTATTGAAGTTACGACCTTTAAAAATCGTCCCACTCTCGTTGAGTTTAATATAAAGATAATAGACATCGCACTCTTAACAATAGCCGAGCAACACCAAACACGACTCATTTGACTTTAAATGTGATATACACCATAGCCAAATATAATGTGATATTCCAAACAAAATTAAAATACAATTAAAGACATTCAGATATAGAGTAGTCTGGTTTTGGCAACAGACAAACAATTCACGTGAGACAATATATATATATATATATATATTGATTAATATTGCTTGGATGGCCCAATCGGTTTCCATCCAGGCTAAACAACAAACACAGGACAACATTCAAAAACAACAACAAAGATGTGGTTATGGACGGGAAAATTAATTTTTGCAGAAATGATAATGGCGCCTGATTTTTTTCTTTGTGAATCTAGAACGTGCAAGCGCTAGCCAATCGGAAACCGGGGCCATATAAACGAAATGTGACAATACTGAATTTTTTTTTCAGATGTAATTGTTTGATGAGCGAGATGGGCTGGGTAAAAACCCAGTTATGACCTTACGTATGCGGCCCCTGGAAAAACCATATTTAATAATAATAATAAGTTTTTCCTTCTCGTGAGATACACCCCATGTCACATTTATGACCCGTTTGGAATTCGTGCTAAATCTCTGTATGGATTCTTGTGCATGCACGGAGGTGCAGAAGGCGTTAGTCCCACTGCTCAGGGTCCAGGGGCGAAGCAGGAATGAAGTTTACATCACCTCTTAGACCAAATAGCGGAAATAGTCAAGCTTTAGTTAATTCTACAGCTAATAACAAAATTAAAACGTTGATAGATATCTCTTCATATTCTTAACATTTAAACCGAAAATACAAAGTTTAATTAAGTAAGTTTAACCGAAATTACAAAGTTAAACTAAGTAAGTTTAACCGAAATTACAAAGTTAAATGAAGTAAGTTTAAGAAACATCCAGGCATATTATAAATATTTAATGATTTAATGGCCGTCCAAGGATCATAGCCGGGTATTTTGTTTACATACTTGAGCAAGTTGTTCGGAAGCTACTCACTCCACTGGAGAGAGTTGATAAACACGGACTATATTTCTTGGTGTCT